GGCCTAAAAACCCATTGTCACATCTCACACATACACACACACACACACACACACACACACACACACACACACACACATACACCAGATTTTTTTAAAGTAAATGTTACTGCTATTACATTATCTGGCACCTCTATAATTCCTGTAGATGGCAATACTTCAAGATATTATGACAAATGGCTAACTGTTGAGGACATGAAGATGCATGGAACCTCAAATATTATATACATATACATAGTACATCAAGTTCTATTATAAAATATTCAGTTGATTACTGATTAACTTGAATTATTAATTCTCTTCCAGATAGATGAAAATGTTTCTTTGGATCCACACATAAGTTTTTAATGTTTTTATACTCTCTATTAAGTATTTTAACATTAATATTGTTAAAATATTTTGAGAAAATAACAATTATTGGAAGTAAATCATCTAACCTTTGACTTGTACTCAAAAGACTGACACATGAAGATCACAAATTCATATAATATCCAATACTAATAACTGACATTCAAGCTATTCTCTCACATTCATTTGTTGATCTGAGAAACTGCTATGAACAAATGTTTGGTCCTCAGAATAAACTAAATAATTTCACATGCAATAAAAGAAAAACAAAAGAGATAGCAATATATCATTTTCACTAGGAAATAGGATTTATCATTCAATTTCTCCTACTTTGCTTTATCTTTCAATGAAAATATGTTTACAATCTAAAAAGACAGTATTTTATAGATTTAATATTACAACTAATTTTATTTGAGCATCAATGAGACAGCTGTGTTGGAAATGCCTTTCTTATGCAAGGCTGTAATGTTACCTTGATCACCATATGAAGTTGGAAAAAAGTAGACCTCACAAAGTAAATCTCACTGCTATTACATTATCTGGCCTCTCTGGATAATTCCCTTAGAAGACAGTACTTTGGGATGAAGTGCCAAATGCACAACAGATGAGGACATGAGGATGCATGGAACTTTGAATAATGTATACATATTCATAGCACATTAATTTTATTGTGAAATATACAGTTGATTACTGACTCCCTTAAATTATTACATCTCTTCCAGATAGATGAAAATGTTTCTTTTGATACATACACGAAATATTTAATGATTTATTCTCTCTTAATTATTTTAAAATTAACCTCTTTGAAATGTATTTGTAAGTAAATAGGTTGCAACAACTATGAGTTTGGTCCCAGATTTTAGCACCAAAATGTGAGTTTTGCAAATCTGAGGAAAGGTGTCCTGACTACCTGAGAGTCAGAAAACACTTTCAGCTGCTTAGCACAGCTCTGATAGCTGGAACTACAAAAAGACAGTTCAGTCCTAGAGGGCAAGGTATTCCAGACACCTCAAGCTGCTCAAAACAACAACTCTGCCCTGTAGGTGTCTTGGACACCTGGAGCTGTTTAGCCCAGCCCTGGAGGGAAGATTGTATGACTTCCCAGGAAAGTCAGGCCTGGAAGTGCTTCAGCAGCAAAGGGTATCCTGATTCTTCAGAAAACTCAGGATATACCTCGTGTGATGGGTGATGGTCTCCCTGCAGGATATAGTAATCCTGCTCTTCTCCTGGAGACCCACTACAGCAGAGCTTTGCTCAGTGCCCTCTTAAGGGGGCTTCCTAGCAAAGCCCTGCTTCTCTGGCCAAAGAAATTACAAAAATGTAGCAATCTCCTCTGGCTCAGGACAAAAGTGTTACTTTTCAGCTCTTTTGCTCTGTCTACTCAGCAAGGATTTTCTGCTCAGCTGCCCCTTGCTCAATCCACTTGAAACATCTCAGCAAGGTACTTTTGTTCAGCTCCTCCTTGTTGAATCCACTATGGTATATCTCAGCAAGGTTCTTCTATTCAGCTCCCCCTTGCTCAAAACATCTTGGGATGTCCCAATAAGGTTCTTCTGTGCACAAGTGAATGAAGGTCTTCACACCTAAAACACTTTTGAGATTTTTTTGGGTGGGGAAGGAGTAGTCCAGGAGAGTAGCTACTTCTACCAGGGGGGAGAGTACAATTGACCAGGCAGGGCAGTTTATATAGGATGCTTTGGGGATGGAGTTAACCAATCAGTTTTTTTTCTGCCCAGTGTTTGGCCAGTTTTGTGAGCTAGGACAAAGATGGTCCTGATTTCAGGGACAAATTGTTTTTCTTTCACTGGCCTTTCTTGGCTTTTTGTCACTACCTTTAAGGGAAGGGCATATTTATTTCACTGATTCTGATTCTAGAGACCAAGAGTGTTATTTTGGCACCAGAGTCAGGGCATGTTTCCTTAGTTCATTTCTCTGGCTCAGGTCCAAAACATAAGTTGTGTTTCTTTCCCTGATTCTGGGCCCTAGGGACAAGATTCTACTATCCTGTTCTGTGATTGGTTAGTTTCACAAGTTAGTTGGCCAGGGTCACAGATGGCACTGATTTTAGCCAAAATGTGTTTTTTTAAACTGACTTTACCTGTGTCATCTTTCCCTAATTCTGGGCTCCAGGGTCATTGTGGGTTTCTTTACCCAGCCCTGATTTCCTACACTTTTTTACAAAACAACAATCATTGAAAGTACATCATCTACCCTTAGACTTGTTCTTAGCAGACTGACACACAAGGATCATAAATTCTAATGTATCCATGACTAATTACTGACATTCAACCAAACAGGATAACAAACAACATTTCAAGGGAATTTGTGAAAAAAAATATTAAAAATAAAACCATGAACAAAAATGCACAACCCTTTCACAAACACACTTTCATAAAAAGTGTGATCACATACTACCTGAGAGTTAAATAAAAATCAAACACTTAAATGATAGCCATCCCATTCTATACAAGGCAGCAGATAAATACCTCTGAATAAGTGAAAGTGCACAAAAACCACAAAAGGAATGAAAGGACCACAAAATAAATTTCACTAATTGAATTTTCCACACAAATAGCACACTTCAATATCTATCTATAATGTTGCAAAAGACCACAATGTGGTCTTCACATTAGTCTTTACTGAACTTGTTTACCAATTTACTTGCCTCAAATCTACAATGAAAAAGACTTAAAACAAGTTTTTTTCCTTAAAACTGAAAACAACTGTAATGTCTAAAGTCTTAACCAAATTGTTTACATAAATAGGGTTTTCTTTTGTATGAGGACCTATCTATTTTCTGATATCAAGATAATATATAAATCTTAAAAATATTGACAGGGATATAGACAGAGCCAAGCCTTTAAAACATGTTCATTCCCTGGACCAAGGTCTGGTTTTCGATCACTTCCAGTAATTCCTGCTACAAGAAGCTCCGGGGTCTAACCTTCCTGAGAACCAGAATGTACATACATATACCCATAGAAAGATATATAGATATTGCTTAATTAAATAAAAACAAATATTTAAACTAACTTTCAATCATGAATGTTTTTCTATTATAATTCCAGTACCGTGGGTTTTGAGGCATCTCAATGATTACAGAGTTTTTCTCCTTCATGAATTGGCCCATGTAACAGAAAGCAAACCTGGAGCCTTGAAGTCAGAGAAATCAATCATTTTCTGTCTGTGATATTATTTGGGAAGATTTAAGAAATGGTGCATGCTGGAAGAAATCTGTCCCTGGGGATTGGCCTGAGAGTTCACATTTGCATACCATTTCCAATTTACACATTCTAGTTCATGCTGTAGTACAAGAATGTGAATTCTTAGCTGCATGCTTTAGCTGCTATGTCTGACACTTGTTTCCATGACACTTTTATGGGGTTCATGTATTGCTTTGGAACCAAGGTCCAAATAAAACCTTTTTCTGAGGTCACTTAGATATGATCTATTATCAAAGCCACAAAAAGGCAATAATACACATCTATCAAAGTTTACAACAGAATTCATTATCTCATGTATTTGAAAAGAAGTATGAAATCTAAAAGGGTTACTTTATCATTTAAATTTATAGCCTTTTGTCCATATTAGTTGACATGTGTAAACAAAATAAAAAGAGATGTTATAATGATTGAACAGATTATTGACACATTTTAGATTTTTTCCAAAATAATTAATTTTGTGTAATTGAATGTAAGTATGTTGGCTGATGAACATAATAATTCATAAATATTCAGATTTCCTTTGGTATGAGTTTTTTTTTCAGATCCTCAAAGTCTACTGTTATAGTCAAAGGCTTTAAGAGACCTGTAGCTAGGGTTTTCTCTCCAGGTCCCACCAAGCCCTGGCAGTCAGACAGCCCACTTATAAAATAAACACACAGATGCTTATATTGCTTACAAACTGTATGGCCGTACCAAGATTCTTGCTAACTGTTCTTATATCTTAAAATAACCTATTTCTATTAATTTATAAATTGCCTCATGGCTGTGACTTACCCTTATCTTAACATGTTGCTTCTCCTCATGGCAGCTGATACTGCCTCTCTGTCTCAGCCTCCACTTCCCAGAATTCTCTTCTTGCTTTGTTACACCTAAACTTTCCTGGCTACTGGTGAATCAGCATTTTATTTATACAGAGTGATATTCACAGAAGGGACAAATTACACACTAAAAGATTTACAGTTATAGGGTTGCTCTGTGTTGTGAGTAGGCATTAACACATTGATTATATTTATAGGGTTACTCTCCAGTATATGTTCCTTAATGAACATAAAGATGGCTGGGCTGTCAAAGGCTTTACCACACTGTTTACATTCATAGGGTTTTTCTCAATCATGTTTGCTTTCATGAAATTGAAGAACACTTAGATGAGAAAAGGCTTTACCACACTGATTACAGTTGTATGGTTTCACTCCAGTATGTGTTCTTTCATGCCTTTGAAGATGAGAGTTGTGAGCAAAGGCTTTACAACACTTGATTACATTCATAGGGTTTTTCTTCAGTATGTGTTCTTTCATGTCTTTGAAGATGAGAGTGATAAGCAAAGGCTTTACAACACTGATTACATTCATAGGGTTTTTCTTCAGTATGTGTTCTTTTATGTCTATGAAGATGACTGAGCTGTGCAAAGGCTTTACCACATCGATTACATTGTTAGGGTTTCTCTCCAGTATGTGTTCTTTTATGTCTTTGAAGATGAGAATGATAAGCAAAGGCTTTACAACACTGATTACATTCATAGCGTTTTTCTTCAGTATGTGTTCTTTTATGACTATGAAGATTATTGTGCTGTGCAAAGGCTTTACCACATTGATTACATTGATAGGGTTTCTCTCCAGTATGTATTCTTTTATGTACTTGAAGACGACTGGGCCATGCAAAGGCTTTACCACACTGAATACATTGATAGGGTTTCTCTCCAGTATGTGTTCTTTTATGTACTTGAAGATGACTGAGCTGTGCAAAGGCTTTACCACACTGATTACATTCATAGGGTTTCTCTCCAGTATGTGTTCTTTTATGTACTTTAAGATGACTGGGCCATACAAAGGCTTTACCACACTGAATACATACATAGGGTTTCTCTCCAGTATGTGTTCTTTTATGTCCATGAAGATGACTGAGCTGTGCAAAGACTTTACCACACTGATTACATTCATAGGGTTTCTCTCCAGTATGTGTTCTTTTATGTACTTGAAGATGACTGGGCCGTGCAAAGGCTTTACCGCACTGAATACATTCATAGGGTTTCTCTCCAGTATGTGTTCTTTCATGCCTTTGAAGAGTAATGTGTTGAGCAAAAGTTCTGCCACACTGATTACATTTATAGGGTTTCTCTCTAGTATGTGTTCTTTCATGCAATTGAAGGGCACTGTTATGAGCAAAGGCTTTACCACACTGATTACATTCATAGGGTTTCTCTCCAGTATGTGCTCTTTTATGTTCTTGAAGATGACTGAGCTGTTCAAAGGCTTTACTACATTCTTTACATTCATAGTGTTTCTCTCCAGTATGTGTTCTTTCATCCAATTGAAGAGTAATGTGTCGAGCAAAGGCTTTATCACACTGATTACTTTCATAGAGTTTTTCTCCAGTATGTGTTCTTTTATGTTCTTGATGATTACTGGGCTGTGCAAAGGCTTTACCACATTGATTATATTCATAATTCATATATTCATGTTTCTCACCTGTATGTGTTCTTCTATTCAACTGAAGAACTTTCCACTGAGCAAAGGTTTTGCCACATTGATTACATCTATAAGGTTTTTTAACCATATGTGTAGTTTCATGCCTTTGAAGATGACTGTGTTGTGAAAAGGTTTTACTACATTGATTATATTCATAGGATTTCTCTCCAGTATGTGTTTCTTCATTTCTTTGAGGATGACTATGACATACAAGGGCTTTACCACACCGAATATATTCATAGGATTTCTCTGTAGTATGAGGTCTTTCATGCCTGCAATAATAATTGAAACATTTAAAAGCTTTACCACATTCATTACTTTGTTGAGTCTATATATCTGTATAAATTAATTTTACAATTTGGTCTCAATATAAAGAGAACTGAGATCTTAATGTTTTAACATGTTTTTTCACTCATGTTTTCCCCCTGCATTAAGGATGGTCTTGCATATTTGAAAATGCCTGTGATAATAGGAGCCTTTATTACCTTGCTCATATTTATGGCATCATTTTTCTCTGAGGATTTTCATATATTTGAAGAGAACTGGGAGAATTTGGACATTGACCTCAGTTATTCCATTGATAAAGTTTCCTACACTGTGAAACATGCTACATGTTCAAAGTTAACCAGCACACACAGAAGCATTTACACAGTACTAGAACTCATAAAGCTTTTCTCTGGTGTGTTTGTTGATCTATTCTGAATGAACCTGGAAAACAAATTGTTTGTAAACTTGAAACACATTCAACAAGTTTACTTAAAATGGGACTACTATGTATTTTCTAATTGTTCTAAGATTGAGAGATGTACAATGCTTCTTTTCATATCCTTATGTTCATATGGCTGATATCCAGAGTGACATATGATAACTATTAAAGAAAGAATAACAACAAGAATATTTCCACATTTCATTTATAGTTGGACTTTCTGTTCCTCATCAACATGTGGTATAGGGAATAATGTTTCTCTACAACTCCCCCCCCTTAACTCTTGACTCTAACTCCCCATCAACCTAAAATTAGCAAAGACAGAACACTATATGAGTAACTATACTATGGACTATTTGCTTATTACAAGGTTGTGTATATATTCTTGTCACATATTCAATGAGTATATCTTTTGGTATATAAATACTTTGAAACTAAATTGACTGTCACTTGTACAGCATTGCTTTGATGAAGCTATTATTCAAATGGTGATTTCTGCTAAGGCATTTTTTTTTGTCTTCCTTCTTCTTTTTCTTTTTTTCTTTTTCGTTTTTCGAGACAGGGCTTCTCTGTGTAGCTTTGCGCCTTTCCTGGGACTCGCTTGATAGCCCAGGCTGGCCTCGAACTCACAGAGATCCACCTGGCTCTGCCTCCCGAGTGCTGGGATTAAAGGCATGCACCACCACCGCCCGGCTGTGTGCCACCACCGCCCGGCTTTTGTCTTCCTTCTTAAAAGGATCACTTGCAAACACGATTCATTTACCTGCCCTTGAGGTATATGTGTTTATGAGCATTTAATGATCATCAATGCATTTAAGCTGTGATTATTTACACTCCTTCATTTCTTTAAAACATTCAGATATATTAAATATATTGAGAGGCCCATTTGTATCACCTTGTACAAGAAAATTACCTTCTAAGTTTTAGAGAACTTTGACAATGTTCTTCAACTTCAAGATCTTCCCAATTGTAACCTAAAATATTCAACAAGGAAATGTATGAAATACTACAGGATACTGAAAATTTTACATTACTGTCTTCACTGATCCTTCAAACCAAGCCTGTTTGATTCACCTCATTCTTCCTCATTTTCAATCAGAATTGCAGAATAGCATCAATAATCAAGAAACAGTTGTCCCCTTATTTAAAATGTGAAGGAAAATTTATAGTATTACCTATAGCTGTGAGGTTCATATAGGTCTCCACCATCACATCTTTGTAGAGATTCCTCTGTGAAGGATCCATCAATGCCCACTCTTTCTGAGTGATGTCAACATGTACATCATTATAGGTCACTGCATTCTAAAATATGCCATACATAAATATGCCATCCATATGTATAAAACAAAAAGCATGATACAACATTGTAAATGTGTGCTTCTTTGACAATATAGCCATATAATTCTGGTGAGTGCTACTCGTATTCTATAACTCAGACATTGCAATGAAATCATCAAGTTACTTCACAAGGAAACTGAATAGGAGATTTACCTCTATTATTTCTGAATGCTCTAAACAGGATATCACCTTGCAAGAGAAATGTCTATTAACAGAGATATAGAGACAAGCAAACACTTCAACAGTACTGAGCACCCATCAGAGAAATTGTGTGAACAATTATTAACTACAAAGAAGATTTATAAGTTGAGTATATCAGCTCATGCCTTTAATCCCAGAACTGAGAAGGTAGAAGCAGGTATATGTGCTTCTGAGGTGAAAGTTAGCCCAGTCTATGCTAACTGCATCTGCACTGAATCTTCCATTCAAACAAACAAAAAAGATAAGATGAACTCAAAGATTTCTTTACTGAAGATCCTACAAAGAGTTTGGCATTCACTCCAGTTCTGTATTCATCTTCCAAAAACCTGAATTGCTCCAGTTTAAACTACTTTAATAAATCTTACAAAAAGGAACTGTGCATTTAAAGAGTTACAAATAGAAAGAAGATAACATTAGCAATATCAATGGTGATCATAAATAATCAACACAGGGAATGAGAGATGGCTCAGAAGTAAAAGAGTTCTTACTGGTCTTACATATAAATGGGCTCAATTGTCAGAACTTATATGGGAGAATCACACAACTGTGCACTATACCAAGATTGTGGGTTCTAAGACTGTCTTTGGACTACTGTGAGGACAGGTGTACATGTGCTGCATATCCATGTATATAGACAAAATAATCATATTCATTAAAAAAAACATCAAAACAAACACAAAAAGCAAGAAAAATGTCACAATTATAATCTAATGACTCAGAAGGCCCAGACACTACATCTAAGAAGAGAATAGTATCTTCTGCTGAATTTCAAAATTGAAACTGGGGGGTAAAGCTCAGCAAAACAACAAATGCTTGACATGTACAAAAACATATACTCTAGGACAATCACCCAATAATATATATTTAAAAAACCTACAATGTTGAACAACCTTTAATCTCAGCATGTGGGAGCAAGAGTTAGGTGAATCTCTGAGTTGGAAGCCAACTTGGTTTACAGAGCTAATTTTAGGAGAGTCAGGGCTACTCAGTCAAAGCTTTTCTTCAGAAACAAAAATAAGAAAAAACAAAATTTTAAAAAATTCAGGCTAGCAAAGTGGCTTAGCATTGAATACCAATTCCATCAATTGTATTTTATGTGATTTCATGATACTATCTATACTGGTGGTGAAGTCATGGCAGCACAAGAAGGAAGCTGGCTCATTCATTTCAACCACAACATAGTAGAAACATAGAAAAGGAAATGGGATGAAGCTATAGAAGCACATATCACCAGCCCCAATGAGATATTTTATCCAGAAAGGTTCCACAAGTACCACAAAGAAAGTCATCAAGGAGAGACACATGTTCAAATACCTCATCTATCTGGGAGATTTTTATTCAATTAACTAGATTCTCACCCAGGTCACTATAGGCTCAAGTGTCATCCATGAAGAAAATGCATTTAGTCACTTCAATGATTCTCATAGTCTGCAACAACTCCTACACTGTTGAAATGTTCAAAGTCTCTTTTGACACTCAAGACAAATTCTTTACTGTGGCATATTATAAAATCAGAAAACAATTTATGTATTTCCAACATGTGAGTGGCACCGAAAATCCATTACCATCCCAAAGGAAAGGAACTAAGACACAGTGAGGAAAGAATGGACCAAGGGAAGACTGAAACCCAGCAGGGCAACCATTGAATATGGTAGCTAGCTCTGTGTCAGAGACATGAGGTTTCATTTTCAAAGGGCTTAGATGGCTCTCTCTTTCCACAACTTCCCATATATCTCTATCTCTATGGTTACCTCCATACCCTATTTGTAGTTAGCTCTCTATGTAAGATATTTCATAGCTTAATTATCTCAACATCTTATGGTCTCAAAATACAACTCAGGCTTCATCCTCATAGTATCGTGCAATGAACTCAGACAGTCTTCTCACTGGAGCTCTTACCATAGCAAACACAGATTCCTACAACAGAGCTGAACTGAAAATGCAGACTAAAAATGTATAAGCTTAAATTTTACATCATTCTGGTCTCCAGAACAATTTCAACATCAATGATTCTCCCTAATTTGGTTTCTAAGTTGTGATGGCCTCTGCCATGTTTGGACCGGAGTTGCAGCAGGCTTTGAATAAAGTTGCTTCCTGGGAATGGCAATCACTTTGCATAATCCCTCCATTAACTGAGAGCATATAAGGATGGATTCTTACCCTTGGGACACTTTGCTAGGCTTCCGATGTAGAATAAGGGCCTTCTTTTTAATGGTGATAAACTCCCTGAACATTCCTGACTCTGGTCAGCATTTGACTACCTTCTGCAAATTCATAGTGCTCTTTTTCTTTACAACCAGTAGACTTTTCATTTATTTATGATCCACTTCTTGATTTTTGTAATGTTGTACTGAATGAACCATAAGTAATAGCTATCCAAGAAAGTCAATATTCCATCTAAAAAATCAGCCCCATTATTTTTTTTAAAGATTTTTTTTTATGATGTAAACAGTGTTCTTTCTGCAAGTTTTCCATATGCCAGAAAGGGGCATCAGATCTCATTATAGATGGTTGTGAGCAACCATGTGGTTGCTGGGAATTGAACTCAGGACCTCTGGAAGAGCAGGCAGTTCTCTTAACCTATGAGCCATCTCTACAGCCCCCATTATTTTTTTTTAATTCTTCCTTACTCAATCAATTTCTTGAGGGCATGGGAAAATAAGAAAAGTTAGGTTCCAAAATATCACATAAATGACCTCTATTTTAATTCCCACTGAAATCCTTTGATCTCTACCTCCATTGTTTGCAATACTTTTAACAGTATTTTATTCAAAGTATTACAAGAATGATCAATTGAGCCCATAACGCAGTTTTCTATGTCTTTTGTCATCTAAATTTTGATATGTTTTACATTCCCCCAAAAGTCACCATTCCCACCACCTTTGAACAACAGAATCACTTTGGGTTTACCACATTCTGTTACAACTTGCTTTTTTCTTGCTCTGATTCAATTCTCTACACAAAGGTACCTTAGGTAACAAATGTGCTTATTTGGCTCATTCTGGCAGATCACAATCCACTATTGTCAGTGCTTAATATAGATATTCAATCTAGCAACTGAAGGCAAAAACCATGAGGAATCGTTGTTTCCAGGCTTTCTCTCTAACATAGTCATTGTCTTTTATGCAAAGCTTGCTGTTTTATCTAGTGCAGGTCAACTTTCTTAGGGATATTGCACATTCAGTGGAAGGGATATCACCCATCCATCATCAATCAACAAAATCTGTCAAAAACTTAGCAACTAGCTACTCTGATGGGGCACATCCTCAACAGATGTTCCCAAAGGTGACTGTGAGCTCAGAAATGTTGACATCTGAAAGTAGCTAGAAAACAGAGACAATAATATATGAGACTTTACAAACCAAAACCCAATGATTCAACTACATCAATAAATTAAAGAGAAAAAAAAATGATGATGATAACAAGTAGTAATACAGATACACCAAGAAATGAAGAAATACAAGTTTCTAAGATCAAGAAGAAAAAAACTAAAATTGTTCCTCCATAGAAAGTCTCCAAATCAAAAACCTAAAGAACTCCTAACATAATATAGCAATTTTCCATAAAATAAAAATAAGTCAAGTTCTGTCATTTGCCAGAGAAACAATATAACTATATCATAACTAATAAAACCTCACACTATACAGATGGTAACACTGATAAAAGGGGATAAAAAGACAGACCTACAAATATAACATTGTCCCTTGAAAAAGAATTATAAGTTTCTAATGAAAATCAAATCAAAGAAATCACTGACCACCACTCACCTAGTGCACTCCAGTTCTCTCCTTCACCAGTAATAGAAAATGGGTTGGATAAGGAGACTGCTTCAACAAAATTAGAATCATTCACTTGAAGCCTGATATTTCTACATTGTAGAAATTAGTTTTGGCTACTAATACTAACTCATTCTCCTTTGATAAAGAAAAAGATGTCTGTTAGAAAATTTAGAAGTAATTTTGTTTCCTATGATTGAAGATTAGATGTAAACCTGTATCAGAGTGAGGAAATGAATTGTTTTCTAAATAAATGAAAGACAATGGTTTTTTAAAGATATTGTATGATTTTATTATAACTTAAAGCAACCTGATTTCTCTAACTGCTTTATAAGCCATAAAAGCTTTTGAAAACAAGTCTAGACTCATTGTATGTATATATTTGTATGTATGAGAAAGAATATTTTCCATGTGTGTATAGGTGACAGAATGAAGAGCATGTCAGATCCCCTGGATCTGGAATAGCAGTTGATTATAAGCCTCCAAACTTGGGTGCTCATATGTGAACTCCCCCAAGAATATTTGCTAACTGACATTTGTAGCCCAAATACTACTTGTTTTTTTCAATAACCTAAACGTCTTTTACAGATTAGCCACAACAGAAGCCTAAATAAGAAAATAAGTAAATAAATGATGCCTGGGAACCTAATGAATCAGTATTAAATTGTTGGGTATGGGACCAGGAAGACTATCCACAGACCTTCCCCACTGTCAGGGATCCAATACTCAGGGTTGCCCTGAGGGCTGAAACAGAACTCCAGCTGCAGCTTCTCCTCCCCTTTTCATGTCTCCTGTGGATTCCAAAGACCATCGCCACCTACCTTTCCCTACTCACCTCATATCTGAGTCCCATCACCCAACTGGGGTGGACACCCTCTGGTCATTTACTCACCACATCTTCCAGAAGACCAGTTATGATGTCTGCAGATC